ATTCCATATATATTATCAGCAGGATAGTCAGATGTATCAAATTTACAAATATCTGCTTTCATATCAGAGTAGATATCTGTACATTTAATTTTATAAATAAGGCTGTCAGTGTCAGTGTAGAGCAATTTACAATTTTTACCATACTTGTTTCTCATATATTTATAATGAAAATCATACATTAATGTTTTAGATATGTCCAAAACGCTAAGTCCAATATAGATGGGTTTGTTCATAAGCACTTCCGTTTTGTTAAGCTCCACAGCAACCAAGTTTTCATTGAAAATAGCTCGTGTGTGGAAGTTTGGCTTTGAAATAAGAGCTTCTGCTCCATACCTACCCTCCCATTTTGTTACAAGTTTTACATCAACGCGTTTTCGTACATTCTCCATTGTCTTGCCATAAACTGCATTGTTCATGAGTTTGTAAAGATTTTTTTCAAACTCATTTTTTGCATCTGTTCGCATCTTGGTATTAAAATCGATATACTTCTTCAACCATGGAGATTGTTTAAATTTTAAAACTCGATGAATTTGAGTAAGTTTAAGACCACTCTCTATTGCTTGTTTAAGTGCACGATAATGGAGAATATACTTTTGTTTTGGTAGGAGGGTAGTGAGCAATTTCTCTTGTTTTGATCCAGGTGGCTTTGAGTGTTCTGGACAAAATGGTAAGTCACTATGACTTTCATGCAAATCATTTGGATATTCTAAATCAACTTCTAATATATAGCCAAAATTTGAATCATTACCGATATTAAAGTTAAACGATCTATCTACATCTTTTACCCACTCAAAACCACCATAGGGAAGTGCTTGAATCATAGCCCAACCATAAAGGTTATTAGCATCTAAATATACGATATAAGATGAATCTTCATTTTCATTATAATTTTTCATATAATGATTATTGGCATGAGCATATCTGTTTGAACATTGGCTTATACCTCCTCTAATACCACTTTCAACAAACATAACCATGTCAATATCTGTAAGGAGTTCCAACTCAACCTTTGTACATTTTAACATGGCATCCCAACTAAGTCCAGGTGTTGTATAATAATAAGCTGGATCTAATTTATATGCTTTAAGACATTGGTCTCTGAAATTCTCAAAAACATCTGCGAGTAGTAAAATGTCAGTTTTCATATACAAATATACATACTCATAGAGATATTGACAATTAAAAGTAGACCAAACCCTTTGTGCATGATGATAATCTTCATCGCTTATATGAGAATCATTTAGGGTACTATAAAATTTCTCTTTTGGCGGTAGTTGTGTCTCATTTAATTTCAATCTACTGTCTAAATACTCATATGGAAAAATTCCTTTGCGTGTTAATAACTGGATCTTATTAACATCATAAGACTCAAATTCGGAATGTACTATTTTATAGTCTGACAGATATGAAGCCAATTTATCCAAAGATGATGCCATGAAACGAAATGAGTCAATGAATTTAAATTTTATACTATTTTCTGGGAGGTGTTTTGTGAAGCTAATATATTTCTCTTTAGTAATAGGAAGGAGATCAATTTTACCTTCAAGCTCATTCGCAATAGCTTCTATAATGAAATGAGCATCATAACCACTCAAATTATGGAAAACAACAGGAATAGTATGTAATTCCTGATAATTTAGATTGCAATACTGATGAGCTACACCTCTGTATTTACCAGTTAGGTGACAATGATCCCTAACCTTAATCTGACCCTGATTAATCGCTTGCTTACAAATGTGACACTTATTACTTATTCGAAAAAGATTCTCTTGCTTAGCACTTAAAACTTCCATCGGAATGATAGTTTTAAATACAGGTTCAAGTTGCTCAGCAACTTGCTTCAATTCACGAGCAAACCATTTCGCTGCATTTTCTTCATCAACGGGAGATGCTTTATATATAGATTTTGTATTATTACATCTTTGTTCATTACATTTGAGATAATATCCAATACTTAAAAGTTTATGATTTTGAATAATTTCTGTATTACCTCCCATAGATGAAGAATCTGTTTTAGGAAGTAATAAGCTTTCGCAGTCTGCATATATGATAAATGGAGCACGCTCCTGATTTGAAATGTTTTTAAATTTGAGTATATTTTTTTCTGGTTGCGGTAAAATAATTTTCGTTTTATTTAAATGTGAACAAGTTAATGTATGTGTAGAAAGTTTATCTTGACTATGAAAATAATGCAAACAGCGATCGCAAATATACTTCTTATGTTCTTGTTGAGATAATTGAGAGCTAACAAGTCGTGATAAATTTTTAATCCAAACATAATGATATTTAGTTTTTGCTTTGTCCACCTCATGATTATTGTAATTGTCTTGAATTAATAAAAGGTTAACATGCTTTTCTTTTTGATTGAAGTTATATGTAGTGGAACTACATTAAATTCATCATCATTCTTTGAACGTTTGTTTCCTTTAGGAATTTCAAGACCATATACATTAATAGAAATAGGGTTCTGTTTTTCAAATTTTGGAATTTGAGAAACATGAACAGGGAAGTTTATTCCCTTAAAATTTAAAACATTTTTATATTTTATATAACTTTTACAATACTGGGATTTTGTAGTTTGAGGTGGATAGAGCGCGGAAAGTATCGACCACTTTAAGCATTCATTATCATTGTTATGAACATTAATGCAAGCCTTTTTTGCTTTAATTGATTGAGGTAAATCTATAAAAGAACCAGCCTTCAAGGGGTTGAATTTACTGAAATTTACGTCTAATCTCTGAATTGAATCAAGTCGCCAATTTGAATCTTTTTCTTCAAAATCTTCACAGAGGCGTAGCGTTATTTGTTTAATATTTTCATTATAGAAGTTATCTAAATTAGTTGTAGGAAAAACTTCTTTTGTACTCGCGGTAAAACTTTTTAAATCAAAAACTATTGTATTGTCAGGTAGAACTTGTTTATACTTTGCTTGAAAAACAGTGTAAACTTTTAGTGGCCCTTCCCTTAAAAATCGTTCTACCTGATCTTTGAAAACTGAGTAAGCATCATCTAAGAAATCATTAGTGTCTAAATGTGATATATTTATAATACTTCCGTTTTGAAGTTTATTGTTAAAGGCCCTGTCAGTAACTACCCATTTAATTTTATCATTTGAGGTATCTAGTCCAGCTCCCTTTTTCATAAGTTTATGTAGTTGGTATTCATAATATTTTACTTGTAATAGCAAATTTTCAATCCTACTTTCATGATTTCTCTCAAGTATGCTACGTCGCAAGAACTTTGCTATAATAGCAAGATAATTTTTACACTTACTATGCCATTTAAATGCGCTTATCAAACGATCATCACGATCTGTTTTAGATTTAATTGATTCCAATTCACCAGGAATAGTATTAAGGAAAGTTTGTGAGTTTGTACAAATTTCATTAATACTGTCTTGGGATACTACTCGGCGTGCTCTTCGCGATACTCTTGCATATGGGTTTCTAACTATATGCGACATGGTAATAAAAAATAAAAAAAAAAAGCAGAAGCTGAAACAGATAAACAGAAAAATGACGTCCTCAGCTAACAGTTGTCCACAGCTAACTCTTCTTCTGTAGTGTCCTCAACGGTAGGAGGAGGAGGAGGAGGATGAGGAAAGAGTCTTTGAAGATCTGTAATACATTAAAATCAATTGTAATAAGTAAAAAGAATTGATAATATAATGATATGCAATATATACAATAAAAAAAACCTACAGAATCGAAATAAACAGAATCGAACGTCTGCGTTAACTTCTGCAATGTTCATACAAGACAGGCTGAAGATAGGCTACTGCTAATACAACGACCGCGAGCCGGTTGATTGATACTGCTAATACAACGACTGCGAGTCGGTTGACTGATACTGCGGTGCAACTGCAATGGTAGGCTGAAGACAGGCTACTGCTAATACATCGACTGCGAGCCGGTTGATTGATACTGCGGTGCAACTGCAATGGTAGGCTGAAGACAGGCTACTGCTAATACAACGACTGCGAGCCGGTTGACTAACAAGACAGGCTACTGCTAATACAACGACTGCGAGCCGGTTGACTGACACTGCTGCAACTGCAATGGTAGGCAGGAAGGCGGCAAGCAGGCGGCAGGCAACAGACAGGCACGAAGGTAGGCGTCAGGCAGGTTGAACGGCAAGCACCAGGCAGGAAGGCAGGCTCCAGGTAGCAGGCTGAACGGCAAGCACCAGGCACGAAGGCAGGCTCCAGGTAGCAGGCTGAACGGCAAGCACCAGGCACGAAGGCAGGCTCCAGGTAGCAGGCTGAACGGCAAGCACCAGGCACGAAGGCAGGCTCCAGGTAGCAGGCACCAGGCAGGCAGGAAGGCGGGAAGGCAGGCTCCAGGCAGGAAGGCAGGCAGGCAGGCAGGCAGGCAGGCAGGCTGGAGCTGGAGATGTTGCTGATGGTGATTCCTAAAACAGAATGACGGTCCCTGGCTCGGGAACTGCCTGAGGTAACCTTTCTCCCTACCATGGGTCTTACTCCCACTCCTGTAACTTCCCCCACTAACAGTTCACCCACTATTGCACTACCGCCGTAGACGGAGAGTATTGAAAACATGATGAACTAAGTGGAAGGTAAAGTAGAAATCCATGGGTAACATCTGTAGTTGTATCAATGAAAGATAAGTTTATCTACAAATGGTAATTTTATCATAGTATGGAAACATACCTATAGATGATAACTTATCTGTTGATTAACCTACTGTTAAAGTCGACTTATTCATTTAAATTTATTTTAAATTTTTTTTAAATATTTTGAAATTATTTTATTTATTTATTTTTTTTTAATTTATTTATTTACTTCAAAACATAAAAGTTAAATTAAATTGGAGGAAAAGAATGTAACACATTTTTTTTTCATTTACAGACACTCATACTTTATTAATAATAGTTTAAATATATTTTATTTACAAAATATACAAAACAAAATAATTAACATATGTATAAAAATTAAAAATAAATAAATATATATATATATATATATATATATATTATTTAATTTAATTATTCCAACGTAAGGGACGGGTTTGCTTTCTGAGTGGAGGAAAATAGGGTGAATACTTTGGGGAGCGAATGGGGGACAATAATTTTCTAGGTCTTAAATGAGGTGGAGGTTCGCTGTAGCATATTAAATCAGCTGTTGATGTAGATGTTGTTGATGTTGACGATGGTGGTGATGTTGGGAGTAGTGGTGGTAGTGATGGTGATGGTGGTGGTGGTGGTGGTGGTAGTAGTAGTAGTAGTAGTGGTATTGGTAGTAGTAATAGTGTTAGTGGTGATGGTGGTGATGGTGGTAGTGGTGATGGTAGTGGTGGTAGTGGTGGTAGTGTTGATGGTAGTGGTGGTAGTGGTGGTAGTGTTGATTGTGGTGGTGGTAGTGGTGGTACATCCCACCTATTCCAGACAATTTTTGGAATATTTTCATTCCTTCTTTTTTTATTCCTGTTTATTAATAATTTATATAGACGTTGATCATAAGTAGGTCCTTCTAGAAACCATACATGGGTTGATGGTAAGACATCCCACCTATATATGATTCTATATGATTTTTGAAATTTCTGGTTTATACTAAGTGGGTGGTGGTGGGTGGTAGTATTGGAAATATGTATATAATAGAAAAAAAGTAGGTGGGTGGGGGGGTGGTGGTGGTTAACTAAGTGCAATGTATTTTACATAGGTGAGTGGGTGGTGGGAGGGGGTGGTATTTGCATATTCTACGTCCAAAAGGGGTGGATAGTGGGTGGAATTTGCATAAGCTAAAAGGGTTAACTAAAATCAGGTACTCCACCAACGGGTGGTAAATTACCGACATATACCCTACTAACGCCATCTAGTGACAGAAACTTATACCCCCACCAACAGCGGGTAAATTACCGATACATACCCCACTAACGCCATCTAGTGACAGAAAATTATACCCCCACCAACGGCGGGTAAATTACCGATACATACCCCACTAACGCCATCTAGTGACAGAAACTTATACCCCCACCAACGGCGGGTAAATTACCGATACATACCCCACTAACGCCATCTAGTGACAGAAACTTATACCCCCACCAACGGCCGGTAAATTACCGATACATACCCCACTAACGCCATCTAGTGACAGAAACTTATACCCCCACCAACGGCGGGTAAATTACCGATACATACCCCACTAACGCCATCCAGTGACAGAAACTTATACCCCCACCAACGGCCGGTAAATTACCGATACATACCCCACTAACGCCATCTAGTGACAGAAACTTACAGGTCTACTACAATCCTAGAACCATATTTCGTCTGCACTTTGTTTATTTTAGTTACGTTGTATAACTCATTTACAGTCAATTCAGAAAGCGGCTTCGTTGGTAGAAATCTCTCCATGCGACCAGTGGCGTTGACTTTTTGGAAGTCCATTGTTTTAATATCTGTAAGCAAAGAAATAAAAGATTGATTTTTTAATATTAAATTTAAAAAACTAATTTGGAATACAAAATGTTTTTATTAAAGAAATGAAATTTACCTATCAAATGAGAAGATGATGCTGTAGTTGTTAAAGCTACTAGTACTGCTAATACTTCTGTAGATGCTGTAGCTGCTGGTACTGCTGATACTGATAATACTGTTGCTGCTACTGCTGGAAATTTTAATAGAAGTGTCGAATCGTTGCTTCCAACCTACCTTATATCCCTTCAACCCCCACTCTTCTTCTTCAACTCCCACTCTTTTACCCTCACTTTAACGACTGCGCACGCAACTACCTCAAAAGAAGAGACATTTAGAAGACGTGTTCAAACTCGCATAAAATGACGTCACTAAAAGGTTTCTTAAGGAATGTCTTTGTTAATATCTGCAGGCAAGTTAAAACCTGTCTGAAGGTTTTTTAGACAAACTCTTTATTCTATTCAAGATGCAGGTTGAAGCTTGTTTAAAGATTTTCAAATAATACTATTGTTATCTTGGAAAAAGACAAGTTGAAACTTGCTTACATATTTTTGGACAATACATTTATCCCTATGGTGCTATAGTATTAGTGAAGCAAGCTGTGAGAGTCAGACAGACAGGTCTGACGCATGGAACTTTCACTCACTCAACGCGTTAACCGTACGCGCACTTTTGTTGCGCACTGGGCCTTACCACACCACCCACCACCACCCACTCCCACTACCCACAACGCATGCGCGGTATCTCGCGAACGCTTAGTCCCTTGCGCTTCTCTATATGATTTTTGAAATTTCTGGTTTATACTAAGTGGGTGGTGGTGGGTGGTAGTATTGGAAATATGTATATAATAGAAAAAAAGTAGGTGGGTGGGGGGGTGGTGGTGGTTAACTAAGTGCAATGTATTTTACATAGGTGAGTGGGTGGTGGGAGGGGGTGGTATTTGCATATTCTACGTCCAAAAGGGGTGGATAGTGGGTGGAATTTGCATAAGCTAAAAGGGTTAACTAAAATCAGGTACTCCACCAACGGGTGGTAAATTACCGACATATACCCTACTAACGCCATCTAGTGACAGAAACTTATACCCCCACCAACAGCGGGTAAATTACCGATACATACCCCACTAACGCCATCTAGTGACAGAAACTTATACCCCCACCAACGGCCGGTAAATTACCGATACATACCCCACTAACGCCATCTAGTGACAGAAACTTATACCCCCACCAACGGCGGGTAAATTACCGATACATACCCCACTAACGCCATCCAGTGACAGAAACTTATACCCCCACCAACGGCCGGTAAATTACCGATACATACCCCACTAACGCCATCTAGTGACAGAAACTTATACCCCCACCAACGTCCGGTAAATTACCGACATATACCCCACTAACGCCCTGTAACTTACCCTCGCGGTCGGTAAGTAGGAATCTACATTACCGATATGTCCTAGAACCGGCATAGCTATACTACTGAAAAATAAATATATAAAATAGTAAATTTAATAAACTGGCGACCTACTGCCAGCCCGACCCACTAAAACCCGTAACCCTTCTTTTATTATTATTATTATTAAAATTGTTATAATTATCATTACTATTATTATTATTAAAATTATTATAATTATCATTACTATTACTGTTATTATAATTATTATTATTATTAAAATGATTAATAGTTTTCTAATACAAAAATTAATTATCTAGTTATTATTAAAATAAACACTTGAGACCTAAGGGAAAAAAAGTAAATTATTTATTCACAACAATAAAAACAGATTTTAATTTCGATTTACAGGTTTATTTACGAAAAAAGAAAATAAATATACATAATAATAAATACGTGAATGTATAAGAGGCTTATCCCCCACAATTAAATGTTACACATTTATTACCTGATAATTTGCATAAAACTAAAAACTTATTATAATTAAAAAAACCATAAAAACAATTTTTTTTTATCACAGTGTACATAATAAAATGCGAAATAATTAATCACTTCTGGATATTATATAACTAAGATACAAATAATTAACCATTATCAGCATTAACAATAAAAGGAAATGATTGCGAATATTATTTAAAAATACCCTAAAAAATCACCAGAGGAAAAATATTAATCAATTAATCATTTTCCTGGCATTTGTAACAAAAACAAGACCATCTCATTGTTAATAATAAAGTAATGAAATAGACAAAAATCTTTTTTCGAAAAATGTTTTTTTTTTTTTGTTTATTGAAACAGAAAAAAATTATTTTTGTCATTTCAAATATTTTTCTCTCTCAATATATATGAAGGCAAAAGGAATCGCACAAATAAATGCAAAATTGCCATCAACTAAAGATGTTACTAATAAAATTTATAAACACCTTCACAATATGTATCTCCTTTTGTCTTAACTTCAACTGTACAGCCAACAGAGCACTAATATTGTTATTTTTTTCAAATATTCATTTTCTAAAATAATCACGATTTCTTTCCCCAATGGAATAAAACTTAAATTCTAAAAATCTTTGGTAAAATCATACTTTAAATTTGCAAAATAATAGCCAACTACACTTTACATCTACATTTACGTTTAAAAGTAAAAAATACTCTCAAGAAAAGTAAAAAATACTTTCAAGAAAAATAAAAAACAAACTCTAAGAAAATTTAAAAAAAAAAAATAAATTAAGAAAAGGAAAAAAAAATCTTAAAGAAGAAGGAAAATTTAAATGAATCAAAAAGAAAAAATTAAAAAGAAAAATACAAAACAAAATTGTGCCTTAAACAAAAAAGTGCTTATATAAAAGTTAAAAAAAAAAGAATTTTTTCCATTAAAAAAAAAATAACAAAAATTATTTTATAGTATTGCAACCATCGATAGAATTAATTATATTCACTCTATAATTTTTTCTTTGTTCGAAAATTTAAGAGTTATTATATATACTATAAGCAAAAATATTCTCTAAAAATGCATATCTAGTGATTGTGAAATAAATAATTTTTGAATAATTATTGAAGAGGTGTTCGTCGATGAGCCGTAGTCGGTCTCGGGACTCCAGATCGACTTCTATTTCTTTTTGGCGGAGCTAAATTCGTTTCCGACTCAGTATTATACGAGAGGAAAATATTCGATAAATCCGGAAGTGTTTGCTGAAAATTTTCAAAAATTTCAATGTCAAACAAGAAACAACAAAGAAAAACTATTTGAAAAATATAATAAAATTTTTGTTCATTTCAATATTTTCTTAATTATAATAAAAACTATTTTTAAAAAATATATTAAAAACTATATTTGAAAAATAATAAAATTTTTGTTCATTTCAACATTTTCTTAATTATCATAAAAACTATTTTTAAAAAATATATATTAAAAACTATTTGAAAAATATAATATGAATTTTTTGAAAAACATCATTAAAAATATTTAAAAAATAAATAAAAACTATTTGAATAATAAAAAGAACTTTTTCAAAAATAAATAAAAACTATTTCAAGAATATAAAGAAAACTATTTACAAAATATATAAAAATTCATTAAAAAATATGAAAACTATTAAGAAAATTTAATAAACTATCAAATTCATATGAAACGTAATTCATATATTACGTATAAAGAATACGTAATAAATATTTTAATTTTCTAAACCGTAATTACGTCTTTATTGGTTCCAACTGCAGGTGCGGCTTGTGCTTTTCTCATATTATTTCCAGTATAAGCAACGCACTTTAGTTGCCATTCACCAATGTCCTCATTCCAATGGACATATCTCTCAATCATAGTCTGAAACAAAATTCAAAATCAGAACTTCGAAGAAAAATAAAATAAATAATTAAAAATAACCCAAAGAAAAATTTTATTTAAATTAAATATAACTTGAGTTAAATAAAAGTATATTTATTTCAGAGCCAACTAAAGTTATTTATTTGTTTTGGTTTCTAAAGAAAATCTATTTGAAACAAATAAAAAATCTAATTGGCTCTGCGTCATCTTTTTTCTTTTTCCCTGGGGTATTATTTTCAAACAGAATACGAAAAGTATTCGTAATAAAAATTTTAAAAAAATTTAGTAATAAAATAAAAGAAAAATATAAAATAAAACCACAAGAATATCTAATATAATAAAAAATATTACATATTAATAATAAAAAATAGCCTTATTTATTATAAATAAAGAAATTCCCTTAAAAAAAAAACACAATGAAAATATTTTCAGAAACAAAAATATTTCCCAGAATACCTGATATTGCGCGGGAATATAACTATTTAGAATAAGTTCCTGCAATTGTAATTCCCTTCCAATGCCCCTGACACATTCCAAGAGTCCTTCCATTTCGCGTTGATGCTCCTCTTGTAAATCGGAAAGTTCAGCTTTCGCTGACAACAACATTGTCTGAATTCTCGCCAATTTTTTTGTTTTACCCGCAGCCTCTTCCTGTAACGATGAATACTTCTCCTCAATATCAATTCGTTCAGCTTCCTTTTCCTCAATTGCCTTCTTCAATTGTTCCTCACGACTCTTTCTCTCCTCTAATTCAATTGCCGATGCCGCCAGTAATCGCTCTTGCGCCTCAGCTTTTTCCAATAAATTCTCACCGCCAACCAGAATTTTATTCTGTAAATTCTGCATTTTTTCTCTTAACGCCTCCTTCTCACTCCTGGGTAAAAAAAAATTTATTTTAAGACAATTTTTTTTCTCATTAATTTTTAGATGAACATTTCGATAATTAAATTAGTTAAATTTAATTATCGAAATGTCTTTTAATTTTTGATTATTTCTTTATTATCGAAATATTCCTTAATCATTTAATTATCGACAATTTTTTAATTATTCGTCTATTTCTCAATTTTAAATTATCCAATTTTAAAATTATTTAATTTTATTATTTTAATTGTTATTTTTGAAATATTTTCCAATTTGTCAATTATCGAAATAAAAGAGAAAAACTTATATAAATAAAGTATAAGAAAAAACATTTCTCCAAACAAAAAAACTTACTGTGTGCGTTTAAGTTCATTAACATCGTGATCGTCGGAAAATTTGTCATCTTTCTCAGCCTTATCAACTTTCTCTCCATCTTCAACTGCATCGTCGAGTTCCTCCATTGTCATCATTTGACTCCTACGATGTCGTGATTTTCTCTCCCTTTTCGACTCTCCACTACCATTTTCTTCAGACTCGTCAGTTTCCACTTCAGTATCAGAAAGTTCGCCAGAATTTTCCTCCAATTGTTTTCGCAATTGTTCAATTTCAACTTGAAATTGCCGAAGAAGAGCATCTTTTGGATCCTCATTCACTCTCGCTCTGTTCTTTATATTTTTCGCTCTATTCGCATATCGCAATGTACTTATAGTCTCGTCATAATTTAAGTCCGCTGGACTGATATTTGCGCACTAAAAATCAAATATTTTAATAAATATAAATATTTTTTTCATTAAAATAATAAACATTTTTTTTAATTAAAATTTAATTTATTTATTCATAAACGTGCTCATCCGGTTTATTTATTTTTTTTATTTATAAACAAGACGAGTCCGTTTACGAATAAATAAATAAAATTTTAATAAAAATAAATTTCCAATATTTTAAATTTGAAAAAATCGAAAATGTAAATTCAAAAGATCAATAATGTTTTAAAATTAAAAAATCGAAAATAAGAAAAACATAGAAAACATTAAAATTATTCTACAATAAGATGTTTACCATTAGAGTTTTCGAATTACCACCCAGGGAATCTTGCAGCAATCTTGTCAACTTCGAATTTCTATAAGGCACATGGGAACTTTGACCATCGACAAGGGCGGAAATAACATTACCTAATGTTGAAAGTGATAAATTAATTTTTGTCGCTTCCCTCAAACGAACTCCACTTGCTTTCGTCTTGCTCTGACGCTCAGAACCCTGGAAAATGAAAATACAAACTAATTTCGATATTCTTGAAAAAAAACCAGTATTTTATTTTAATTCAAGATAAACTAAAAAATTAGTTCAAGAAAAACTCTAAATTACTAACTATTATTAAATTTAGTAATTTAGTTAAAATTAAAATCAGAATTAATTTATAACAAAATAATTAGCTATTAGTTCATAAATTAAGAAATTTAATCAAACTAATTGAAATTAAAAATAATTTTTATTTAATTTAATTTATTTTAGACTGAAAAAAAATTTAGTTGATTCCAATAACCGATTACTTGTTTATTACCAAATAAATATTTACTTAAAGCGAACAATTTTTATTTAAATCAGTTAAATCGTATTTGCTTCAATTACTGAAATTATTGATTCAAGTAAATATTTATTTGCAGAAAATAATTTTGTTAGTATAATTTTCAATTTTAATTTTATTAATTTAATTTAATTTAATTTAATTTAATTTAATTTAATTTAATTTAATTTAATTTAATTTAATTTAATTTAATTTAATTTAATTTAATTTAATTTAATTTAATTTAATTTTCCATTTGCGATTAAATTCAATTACTTTAATTAAATTTAATTATTATTAATTTATTTTAATTGTTTATTTGATTTAATTTCATTTTAAATATTATTTAATTTTCTGTCTTAGTCAAAAAAATATTTCTGTGTTAATTTCAATGTTTCCACTCACAGCCAAATCAACCAAATGGAGTTTTCCCATTTTCACATGCTGTTCACCATCCTCACCAGGTTGACTAGATTCCACGGTAATTGAAAATATCGCATGTGATCTCGAACTCGAAACATTCATTGCTGTCGCTCCCACCACACCTTTAAACAGAAGACAAAAAAAAATAAAGTAAAATGAAAATTTATTGCGATAAAGAATTTAATAAAATTAATTCACTGAATAACTTACGATTTTTGTTGCCAAGTGTCATAATTCTGTCTAAATCATCGGCATTATTAACAACGTATCCACTTAAATCTTTAACAAAAACTCCAATATCTGGCCTCTCTTTCACTTCAAGTCTTGTATTCTGATCCTTTCCCAGCAAATCTCTAACTTCCTCATTATAAATTTCCAAATAAGTAGCTCTCACTAGGAACCTGAAATCAATAAAAAAAAATATAAAAAATTGACAAAATATTAAATTAATTAAAGATAAAATAATTAATTATTTAAATAATGAATAACAAAATTTTATTTTTTATATACAAATTTTTCTTTATCGCATTTTCTCTCCAAATAAGTAAAAAACTTTTTATATAAAATTTAGTATTTATTTTTTTTTGTGTACTGAAATAGAAAAATACTAAAATAGAAAAATACTAAAGTAGAAAAATAATAATGCAAAATTAATAAAATACAAAATTACAATTTAAAAATATTAAAATAGAAAATTACTAAAATACAGAATTACTAAAATACAAAATAATTAAAATACAAAATTACGACAATTTAAAAATACTAAAATAGAAAATTACTAAAATGGAAAATTACTAAAATAGAAAATTATAAAATACAAATAACTAAAGTAGAAAAATACTAAAATAAAAAATTATAAAATACAAAATTACTAAAGTAGAAAAATAATTAAATACAAAAATTAACAAAATACAAAATTAGTAAAATACAAAATTGCTAAAGTAGAAAATTAATTAAATACAAAAATTAAGAAAATACAAAATTACTAAAGTAGAAAATTAGTAAAATACAAAATTGCTAAAGTAGAAAATTATTTAAATACAAAAATTAAGAAAATACATAATTACTAAAGTAGAAAAATAATAAAATAAAAAAATAAAAAAACAAAATTACTAAAACACAAAATTACTAAAGTAGAAAATTAGTAAATTACAAAATTGCTAAAGTAGAAAATTAATTAAATACAAAATTACAAAAATAAAAAATTACAAAAATACAAAATTACTAAAATAGAAAAATAATAAAATATAAAAATTAACAAAATACAAAATTATTAAAATAGAAAAATAATAAAATATAAAAATTAACAAAATACAAAATTACTAAAATAGAAAAATAGTAAAATATAAAAATTAACAAAATATAAAATTACTAAAATACAAAATTACTAAAGTAGAATATTAGTAAAATACAAAATTAATAAAATACAAAATTAATAACATACAAAATTACTAAAATACAAAATTACTAAAGTAGAAAATTAGTAAAATACAAAATTTCTAAAGTAGAAAATTAATAAAATACAAAATTACAAAAATAAAAAATTAATAAAATACAAAAATTAACAACATTCAAAATTTCTAAAATACAAAATTGCTAAAGTAGAAAATTAATAAAGTGAAAAATTAATAAAGTAGAAAATTAATAAAGTAGAAAATTAATAAAATACAAAATTACAAAAATAAAAAATTAATAAAATAGAAAATTACTGAAATAAAAAATTACAAAAATAGAAAAATAATAAAATAGAAAATTGTCAACAAAATAAAATTTAAAGACATACTTTTGATTTTCATCAGCCTTGGCGATGTGACCGAAAATATGGGCAAACGTATTTGGAATGATACCGCGTAATTGTGGCGAAGTTTTTGCCCCGGACATTGTATAAGTTTTACCGGTTCCCGTTTGTCCATAGGCAAATATTGTTCCATTGTACCCTTGCAGAACTTTATCAACAATTGGCCGTGCGGTTTCATTGTAAATATCAACTTGACTCGTGTTTGTATCAAAAACTGCATCAAATGAAAATACTTTTGGCGGCTCTCCATGCGTTGCATTTGTATTTTCAACTGTTATTTCGGCATTTAATGTATCAACTTTCGTTATTATTTTGCAATGTTGTTCCAATTCTTTGCCATGTAAAGGACGAACACGTACGACAACACGGACATTTTCAATTTCGCCGAGTTCAGTCGTATTATCCTGCTACCAAAAAGAGAAAATAAAATCAAAATTTTATATATTAAAAAAAATATATTAACTGCTATAATTATTAATTTAACATCCTAATAACAATAGAAATCGAATACACGAAACAAACTTATTTTTTAAACTGGACTAATCGAATATAAAAATATACAAAAAAAATATCTACAATCAATTTTTAGAAAAAAAAAAATATTTAAATTCTTGTTTCAAAAATAATCGTTTCGAACTAATTATTATCGTAAAATAAACTTTACCCTCATAAATAAATTTATTTAATTTCATTTGATCCAAAATAATTAATAATTGATAATAATAATAGTAATAATTAATCATTTATCAAATAATTTATCTATTTTCAAAAGTCTAAACCAATTTAATATGTCAAAAGTTTAAGAAAAATTTTATTTTTCCCCTTATTACAATGACTAATAAACATTATTTACCAAATGACGCACACATAAACTGACAGATAGAGAACTGTCAATTTTTGCATCGAAATAGACAAAAATTATACCCGCAAGCCGATTAAATACAAGGGAAATAAATGTTGAGAATTTAATTTAATTCACTTACCGCAGTTCCAGGCATCGTTGAATTTACTATAGACACTAATAAAATGCACAAATTCACTGCATAGTAATAAAATTTTCTTTAAAATTCCGAGGGAATCGAGGGATGAAAAAAAGTAGCTTCAAAAAAGAAGTACAATTTTTAGCAGACGACCCCATAAACAAATGGATCGATGTTTCCAACGACACGAATGAAACATTTTGTGAGAAAGTGGCGAACCTTCGAGACAAAAATTTCAATTCACCGTCGATAAAATCATTCACTTTGTTATCATTGTTATTTAAAAAATATTTATATAAACAATTCAAAAACAAATTTTTTTCTAAATCTAAAAGTCGTGAAAAAATAATATAAAAAGAGTCACTCTTAATATTTTGCGAAAAAAAGTTTCACATTTTTTTTTTTTTGCGAATATTAAAATTATCCACAAATTTTTTTGGTACTAATTCATTGAAATAATGTTAATAATAATAATAATAATAATAATAATAATAATAATAATAATAATAATAATAATAATTACAATAATTGGAAGAATATTAATAATATTAATAATAAAAGGAATGATAAAGTAAATAATTATATAATAATGATAATATATAATAGTAATAATAATAATACCTAATAATAACAATTAACTGTTAAATAATATTAATTTTCATTCTCGACAAGTTCTACCTACTGATAGTTTTGTCATTTTTGTTTGTTATAAATTTAAATAATAATAATTGTAAAAAAAAATTATAAATACTTAAATATAAAAATTAATGTTAATAAAGCTTTAATAACTTAATAAACAATACAATATAATCTTAACATTAAGAATAAATATTGCAACTAATTATCATTTATTGTTTTCTAAATTTAAAATAGTAAAAATTCTTTCTAATTTAAATTAATGACTTTGTATTTTGCAATTAGTTAAATTATTTTACTAATAAAGAGTAAAAAAATTTATTCTTATTCATTAGTAAATTTTATGATATTCTAAAGCAAAAAATCAATCTTAAATTTTAAATTAGTGAAAAATTTGTACTATTTTAATTATTTAGAGAGTAAAAAATATGGATTTTTTACAATCAACTCTTTAATTTTTGCTTTCTGTTGCTGGTGAAAAATTAATTTCAAAATAAAAAAAACTAAATCAAAATTTAATAGTTGCTATTTTATTTTTTTTTATTAATAACAAATTAAATTACACTTTAAATCTGAATTATTGAAATACCGCCAACTTATTCAAATAAATAAAAATTTTTATTAATTTTAGTCATATTTAAAATAACTTTAAGTAAAAAATTTTATAAACGAAATTTGCACAAAATCAAATATTTGATTAGCAACGAAGAACATAATATTAAAAAAAATTATAATTATTCTGCAAATTAAAATGTATAATATTAATTATAATAAATTATTTTTGATAATTAACTATAATAATTTGAATGTTCTTTCATTCATTCACTTTTTCTGTCCCTCACATTCTGAAGATTTTTATTTTATAATTAATTCAAAATTGTAATGACAAATAGAAATCATCAGAATTTTTTTCACTTCATCTCATTAAAATACTGAAATTTTGTTAAATATTATGTTTTATCAAATTGAAATTATGCAAATTTTTGTTCTTTACTTCTAAACAAAAATAGAAAATTGTTAAACAATTGTGATTAAGAAATAGAAAATTTTTTTATTTTTGTTTATGAATCACAATTTTTTTAACACAATTATTATTTTGTTTTAGAAATAGAAGAAAAATATTTGCACAATTCCTATTTTTAATCTTTTTTTTTAACAGGATTTTCCATAGGAATTAAAACATTCGAAACTTTCAAATTCAAACCTTTTTTAAATTAAACAACTTATATTTTTTTGGGATATTTTATTAAAATTGTAGATATTAAAAATCATTGAAATTAGAAAATTTTTTGAAAATAATTGAAATTAGGACAAGAATTTTGTTGACATTTATGAAAATAATTGAACTTTGGAGAAGAATTTTGTTATTTATTAATTTATTTAAAGATAATTAGGATTTTTACTAGAATTTTTTTCAAATTTTAAACATAACTGAATTTTATTTCTTTTAAATAATTGAATTTTTACTTTTGAATTCGTAAAGTTTACTAATAAATTAGTAGAAATTACTATGTAAAACTTACTAATTCAAAAGCAAAAAATCGCAGTAACTAATTTTAATTAGTAAACATTTTTACTAATTAAAATTTAGAGAGTAATTTATTAATTAATTTCTAAATATTAATTAATTATATAAATATTATTAATATTAATTGTTATGATAATTACATTCAAATGATTAATTGAAAGTAATTAAAAATAATCAATTTTAATAATTTCGTAATATATAATTAATAATTTAAATTAATTTCATTAGTTTTAATTATGTTATTAATTAACAAATATAATTTTTTTAAATGAAACCTTTAAACTAAATTTCCAAATTAAATTCTCCCTAGCCTACCGTAAAAAAACTAAATTAAATAACAATCATCTCTTAAAATATGTTTTTCCCCTAATTATACTTTCTGCGGACGGTAATAATTTCCTATTTCCTGATGCGCGCTATTGTTTGAAAAAATTGCTTGTAAAATTGCGAAGCTCACAAAGTGTTCTTAGTTGAATTGCCTGTATATATGAGTAGTGCGTCAAAATCGCGCAGTAGGGAAACCACCCTTCTCTTTTTTATAATAAGCACATCCCCCATAGAATTTCACTCGTCGTTAGTGCACCCTTAATGTGTATATGCACACTTTTAGTTCGTTTCGCTAGCATGCAGCTGACGACGATATAACAATACTCCCTCAATTTTTAAGGGACGCCATATATTTCACAAACTACGTATTTACTCTCTAAATCTGAATTAGTAGAAAAATCTTTTCGGACAAAATCTTTCGACTTTCCTGTTTTTTTTTGCCGAGGGAACTAATTACTGAATATATGAGTAAAGAAAATTTTTTTTTACTAATTCCTTAGTCGAACTTTACTAAATTTACTTGCTATTATTTTTATTTGCTATTTTTACTTATGCTGCTATTTTTACTTGCTATTATTTTTATTTGCTATTATTTTTACTTGCTATTATATTTACTTCCTACCATTTTTACTTGCTATTATGTTTACTTGCTAATATTTTTACTAACTACTTTGTTTATTTGATACTATTTTTACATGCTATTATTTTTACTTATTAATATTTTTACTGCTTTTACTATTTATTTTACTTTCCTATTTTTACATATGCTATTATATTTACTTCAAGGCTCGAACCAGTGAAATTATTTTAAAATATTAAAATACGGACTTTACGGACCAAAAATAAAAAATTACTGACCAATTATTACACTGACAAAAATATAACCAGTCCGAGTCAAATAACAGAACACTTTATTTGAAACTATAAATTAAATTTTTCATAACTATAAAACATGAAGATATCGATAACTCCAAGTCTTCGACTAGAAGTGATCGATTTCTTCATGTTTTATAATAATTAAAGATGGCCCAGTGATAAAATCAATATTTTATATTATAAGAATTTTGTTACTGCAACTTCTTTAAAATTATTTTCAACATTTCAATTTAATTATTATTTTCTAGAATTTTTAACTAAAATTCTTCATTAAACAATTATATTTTTAATAATTTTCGAAAAAGTTATTTGTCAATTTTCAAATCCATTTGTTTACAATTCAATTTTATAAAAATTTCAATTATTCGGAAATTCTTTAATTGAATATATATTACAAAATAACAACTTCAAAAAATTTCAAAAAAAATTCAATTAAACTTTTTGAAAAAAAATTAATTTCACAGAATTGTTAATTAAAATTTTAATTTGAAACCTTTTCAGAATTCAATTATTTTTAAAAATTCATGCTATAATGCTTTTAATATTCAATTATTATTTATAAAATTTTAACTGAAATTCATTTTTAAATCAATTTTTATTAGAAAATTCAACTAGAATTCAATTATTTAAATACAAAAATTAATAACTTATTGAATAATTGAATGTTTCATTAAATTGAATTATCATAAAGAATTTTATCAACAAATTTGTATATAACTCAATTCTTTTGACAAATTGTAATAAAATTTTTACAAAAAATTTTTAATTACATTTTTCGAGAAATTCTATTAATATTGAATTTTAAATAATTGAAATTCTGTAATGAGTTTTATTATTTATGAAAATAACGAAATTATTGGGAAGACATTTATAAAAAATTTGTAAATAATTGAATTCCTTGTGAAATTTTAATTATTTTATGAATATATAATTAAATGTTTGCGCAGAATTTCACTAAAATTTTTTTTAAATAATTAAATTCTTTTGGATAATTTTATTAAAATAGTAGATATTGAAAATCATTGAATCGAGGAAAATTTGTGAAAATAATTGAAATTTTTGCCGAGTGTTTTATGAAAATTTTTAAAAATAATTGAATTGATTTCAAGAATTTTCTAAAAAAAATTTTAAATAATAATTGAACTTTTGCAACGAATTTTATTAAAATTTCCAAAAATAATTGAATTCTTACGAAGAATTTTATTAATTTTTTTCTAAATAATTGAATTATTCTAGCGAAGAATTTTATAAAAATCATTTTAAATAATTGATTTTTTTCAAAAAATTGTATGAAAATTGTGTTTGCAAATAATTAAATTCCTGCGAAAATTTTATTATTTATGAAAATAATTGAATTAGTAAAAAGAATTTTATTATTGGCGAAAATAATTAAATTACTGTAAAAATTTTATATTATTTATGAAAATAATTATTTATTGAATTATTGACAAAAAATTTATAAAAATTTTTACTTACTATTAAGTTTACTTGCTACTATATTTTTACTTACAACCCAGTTTATTTGATACTATTTTTACTACTTACACTATTTTTACTTATACTATTATATTTACTTGCTACTATTTTTACTATATATTTTTCTTTACTATTTTGACTTGCTAGTATTTTTCTTTTCTACTATTTTTATTTGCTATAATTTGTACTCACTACTATTTTACTTGCTATTATTTTTACTTGTTACTATTTTTACTAATTATAGTTCACTTTACTATTTTTACTTGCTAGTAATTTTACTTTTTACTATTTTTACTAATTAGTTTACTTTACAATTTTTACTTGCTAGTACTTTTACTTTT